GTAGTAAAGTAAAGTAAAAATATCAGAAAAATCTACTTGAGTACAGTAACGAAGTATTTGTACTTCGTTACTTCCCATCTCTGGTAATACACATTAGTACTTTTCGATGGAAAATACAATTTTATAGGATCTGAATAAAACTGACATCTTTGCAAAAATACAAGTATCACAATTTCACTAATTAACGTTGTTTTTCATTTGGCTTGTTTTCTAATGAGGAGTAATTTTAAAATAGCTACTTTTACATTTTTACTGCAGTAAAAAGTTGATGATCTAACTTCTACAGAAAGTGTTTTTCCACAGCAGGATTTATATTTCTACTGGAATAAAAAGCAGGAATACTTTTGACGCCTCTGACTTTAACAGAACGCTGAGTTTAATTAGAAGCAGGAGTTTATTAGCGCTCATCTGTGTTTTTATGCTCGTGTCTAGCTGGGGACAGATACTTGGTTCTACGCCAAGCGTTGTTTCCTCTCCCTGCTGGAGAACATGGCCAAACACATGGTCATGCTGCGGGACGCTGTGGTGCAGGAGTGCATTCAGTTCCTGGAGCAGTGTGAGGGTGAGCCGCAGTTACACAACAGCCACAGACACACGGATGGAAATGGGAGGGGCTTAGGGGACTCAACCGTTTCCTCTTGGTCTCCCTGCAGCTTACGGGAAGGAGGTGCCGGCCATCATCGAGGAGCCTCTGGAGGAGACCCCCCTTCACATCGGCAGGAACACCGTCACGTTCGAGGCTCGGCTGCTCAAGGCTCTGTTCTACGAGGTGATCGGCTGGAACAAGTGAAGCCTTTCAGGGACTGACCGGAAACATCTGTGCAGCTGTGGATGAACGGCTCCGACTCCTTTAAAGCTTTTCATTTAGACAATAAAAGTTTGAGCTGTGAAAAAAAACAAGCTTTTATAAATAAATGGATATTTATGATAATAAAAGGTAAGTTTTGGTAAATTTGAATAAAATATGTCAGAAAGTCACCTTGGAGGTTTTTATTGAATCAGTTTCAGGTAAGAAGAGAATCTCTGACACATAAACATCAAATTAAACATTTTCTGTCGTTCCAAAAAAGCTGAAAAACAATCCACAAGACGAAAAGCTTCCAGGAAGCTTTTTTAATTAAAAATGGCGGGAATAGCGTAGAGCTAGAGGCTTTAGATCAGGAGTAACCAATTAAAAATCAGCAGGGTCCGAATAAAGAAAATCATCAACCAGTAAAGATCCAGAGACATTTTTAATCAAAATCTGTTACTTTTAACAGATTTAACACTGAAATAAAATCAGGTGTTTATGCATCCATGTTATACATTTAATTTTTTAATAAAATTAAAAACAATAGAACTTTTTTCCATCCTCTTTTGTTGGGCTGCTGGATAAAACCTGGAACTAAACGCTATTTCTGACATTTTGAATTGAAAAAATTTCCTGGATGGAAGAGAAACGACTTTGAACTTAGAAACAAAATCCAGTGGATTGATTTTAATTTTTTTAGAATGACTCCAACCTGAATGACTCAGAATTTTCACCAACAACATTTTCTGTCAGTAAAACCAGAAACACGTCCTGCAGCTTTTCTCTTACAGCTAATCTAAAACAAAAGGCAGTAAATAAAACAGGCCAATGGATGCATGCAGTATTTGGTAACAACACGGATTATTTCTCGCGTCAAAACGGACAAAATTTAATATTTATCAGATAAGACATTATTTTGACTTCTGAATTAACTAATTGTAAAGACAAACTTCGCAGCATTTTTTTAAAAAATGAACAGAGATCAGTTCAGGACAGCGGCCTCTTGGTGATGTCCTGCTCTGTCAGGTGAAAGTTCAGGTATCCTCCCAGAGCGCCGACCGCCACCGCCGTCATGTGGCTGGAGCAGCCGTCTGTAAACGACACAAAAACATCCGGTTGGATCATTAAATCATCCGCTATGAAGTTCAGCTCATTCTGGGACACAAAGCAGAGCTGAACCCAAACTTTTCTGTTTTAGGAAGCTAAAAGTTTTCAGCTGAAAGGTTGTTTAGGTTGGAGCTCAAATAATAAAGATATCTCCATCAGTAGAAGGGGATTAAAGAGCAGTTAGAGGCAGTGTTGTGGTCAAGACCACCTAACCCGAGACCAAGACCAGCACCAGTATGTGACAATAAAATGTGAAACATTAATAAAATCACAAACATTGGTCTAAAAGACCTAAAATCACATAAAAACACCTAGATATTTAACACACAGAACTGGAATAAACATAAACATCTTTTAAAGGAATAGTACACCCAAAACATGATTAGCCTTCATTTTCTACTCACCCCCGTGCTGAAC